AAACTTCACACCCTTTCATTATTAGAAGAAGCACTTATGGCTTACACTCAATTCTGGCAGCTTTAGTTACTGCTTTCTAGGCTCTGGGGAGCAGATTAGAGGCAGCAGGTGACAGAGAAAGAAGCCCAGAATCTGACAAGCATATGACCCCAGTGTGGACTGACCACAGCCATCAGAAGCCCCAGGCACCCCAGAGTCAAGGCTGGTGACAGAACTGACAGTGATAGTGATGGTTTGAGCAATGAAAAAAACAGTAAATAAAACGGCCATGTTTGTAATACTTTAAGAACTCTTTTGTATCTGAAATGGTTAGCAAAAGGCTCTGGATACCAGAATTTCTTATAAAGGTCAAATGTACAGTTTACATTAATATGCAATCACTGATCCAATTACTGTTATTTCTTGATTTTTATTCTTCCTTCTTAATCACAATTACTGATTGAAAACCCTACCAAGGCATAATGCACAAAAGCAGAATGTCATAAAGGTTAGGATGCCAGGAAGACTTCATACAAACACATGTGCAAATAAAACCCATACACGCAGCCCCTCCCGACCGGCCCCCCTGTTAACCTGCAGAGACGGTTTTGACACATCTTTGGTCCCATTTGCAAGCATATGATTCCATGTAACGTTGGCACAATGTACTGTATTCAGATTGAAGGGAGAGCAGAAGAGACCTAAATAAAACTGTACACATTATTTTCATAACAGTTCTATGACCACTATGAATAGGTTCTTTGTTTATCTGTTGATAAATCAGAAGGTTAGACTGCTGATAATTTACCCTTCCAAGGTTGTTGTTTTTTTTTTAATTTGGCTACTGGTGCTAGAGAGAAAAGCAAGAGCAATTAGATGAATTCTTTGGCAGACAAAACAAAGGGGATTTTCAAGGGCTTTGGGGGTTGTTGGCACTAGTGCTTTATTAGATATAGTTTCAGGTCAAAACTTATGACTACTTTTTATGAAAGTTTTATCATCATCCCTAATCTAACCCTTATCCATAATTAGGTTTAATTTGGAACACATACCTGGAAATTAGGGGAAGAATAGAGTGAAGAAGAAAATACCAATTTTTCTGAAGTAACAGAGCAAGGGTTAAAAAATAAGCAGAGGCAGGGGATGGTGATACGAGCTGTGAGAGACAGAGGGAAATGCGATGGTGGGCTGTGCTCAGTCCCCGAAGGGCTGAAAGGAGACAGTCACTGGCACAAGTTCCCTGTGCCAACCCAGGGGGAGTCATTGGCCCAGGATATCTGGGTTAGATTTGTTGTGAGATGGAATGCAAAAAACTCGGTGAAAGAAGCTTTTCCTAAGTTCATAACAAATGATTTCTTTAAATTTAAAATTTTAAATATCTGGCCAACTACACTGATTTTAAAATGTCAAACCTAATTTCTGCTGAGAATTCAAAAATTTCCTGGAAATACAAGGAACACCATCAGCTTACTAAAACCCTCCTTTCTGCTAGGGCCTCTGCAGAGGGTTAGGAGCCATGGAGATGAGTAAGACCAATAAAGATTCTCAAGTGTTCTGACTCAGCTGGAGAAGAGCCAACTCTTATTCAATGTGCACGCAAAGGGGGTGCCGGGGGCGTGATGGCTGGGGGGAAGGTAGCAGACAAACGAGCAGAGCATGGCAAGGGTAAAGACACGCTGACTGCTTGGGTCTGGCTGCAGGATTATTCCGTCCAAGTGCTTTGTCATGGAATGGCAAAGTCTTTAAAAGGATATACTAAAACCTCTAAAATTCTCAATGTGTTCTGCTCCTTCTATGGCTCTACAATATGAGCTGGTCTCATCTGACAGGAGCCATATATAAACATTTTTTTAAAGTATTTTATAAAAGAATTCAACAGCCTAAACTATCATACCTAACACACATTCAACAGGAAAAATCCCAGTCTCCTCCATTCCCAAAACACTCCTCTGAATTAGAAAGTTTAAAAGCTTAAAAATATTAAGTCACACTCCGAACAGCAATCAAGTCTCAACTACAACAGGAGGGCACACACAACCCACTCAACAGACACAGTTGGAGCACCCACCTCAGGTGATCATGAGCCCACGGGACACCTACTGCACAAGGCCACTCCCCCAAGACAGGGAGATGTAACAGCTCTACCTAATGCATAGAAACAAACACAGGGAGGCAGCCAAAATGGGGAGACAAAGAAACATCCCCCCAATGAAAAAATTCACTGCTTAAACACACACATACAAATTTAAGGCAAAGAGTAAGAAGCTAGTAGTGAGCTTTTCCAGCGTCAGGGCCGCACGGGGAGGATCTCTTGTGCAGGCCCCCGAGGGTCTTCTGCAGTGCCGGGCATATGCACACGGGCCCAGCCTCATCAAGGTGAAGGGCGGCCCCTGGAGATGCCCCAGTGCACACACTGCAATACAAGCTCCTTCTGGGGAAGGAGCAATTTACCAGCGTGGACATCTCAGTCCCCGTGGAGGTGGTGGCGATCCATCTCCGAAGCCCTGGGGGCTCACTACCAGAGATATGTGGATGAGGCTTCCAAGAAGGCGTTCAAAGACATCCTTATCCAGTGTGACCAGACCCTGCTGGTAGCTGATCTCCGTCACTGGGAATGCAA